AATTATGAAAAATGACTAATGAGGATTTTTAATTATTTCTCCAAAAATGAATAAATGTGTAATAAAATAAATTAAATATGGGTATTAAAGTAAATACCATAAGACCGGGCGGGGCGGGGGTGGGTGCGGGGCAGGTAGTAGCATCCCCCCTCCCTCGCACCCGCACCCTCAATTACAAATTGGATTTTTCCTGCACCCAATCAAATTGGGTTTCCCCTGTTAATTTCGGGTCGTACCTGGGCAAGCCTGGGTTTTCTTGCCATGCATAATGTCGAGAGAGAGAGAGAGAGAGAGAGAGAGAGAGAGAGAGAGAGAGAGAGAGAGAGAGAGAGAGAGAGAGAGAGAGAGAGAGAGAGAGAGAGAGAGAGAAATAATAAACTACTTGTAACCCAAGTAGCTAGCATAACAAACTGACTAACTTGTTAACCAAGCAACTAACTTGGATTATATCACAACATACCCCCTTATAATCCAAGTTGTCAAACACAACTAATCATAATCGATCTGAACTATTCTTAATTTCTTTCTCAAAGTCAGGAATTTGTCGATCTTTAGTCCTTTGGTGAAAATGTCAGACAACTATGCTTCACTCGAGTAATGTCTTACTTTAAGTTCATCTTGATTTACCTTCTACCTCAAGAAGGAAAATCTAACTTCAATGTGTCTACTCCTTCCATGCATAATTGTATTCTCAGTAAGATTAATGGCTGACTTGTTGTCAATCTGCAACACCAGAGGTTTCTTAACTTTGATCTCTATCTTATCCAACAAACATATGATTCAGATTGCTTCACAAGCAACATAGGATCTTTCTATATACTCAGCCGCATGCGAAGATAATGCCACCATAGGTTTCTTTCTCGAGCACCATGAGATTGGGGCACCAAATACTTGAAAGAAATAACCAATTTTGCTTCTTCGGTCTTTCTTATCTCCACACCAACCAGCATCTCAATAACAATTAATCATAGATTTTGATTTCATAATCTCGTGGAAACAGGATTCTACAGTTTATTGATCCTTTTTGGTATCTTAGGATTCTTCGTGCAACCTTCATGTGTGACACTTTGGTTCATCTATATATCTACTTACCAATCTGACTGAAAAACCTATATCAGGTCTGCTATTGCACACATACCTCAGAGATCCTACAATTTGTTTGAACAAAGTGACATCAGCCTCGTCCTCCTCTCCATGCTTCTCTAGTTTCAGATTATGTTCGATACGTGAGGATGCACGATTCGAATCATCCATCATAAATCTATTGAGTATTTCTTTAACATACTTCCTTTGATGCAGTGTCATACTTTTATTGGTAATTTGAAATTCCATGCCTAGGAAATACGACAAGTTTCCCATATCTGACATTTCAAATTCCCTCTTCATCAGCTCTTTGAACTTTAATAAGTTCTCCAAGCTATTTCCAATTACTAGTAAGTCATCAACATATAAGCAGATGATGGTTATATCATGTGCCATGACCTATACATAGACACCATACTCAGGCCGGCATTCCATGAATTCCAATTCGACTAAGTATGAGTCAATTTTCTTGTTCCATGCCCTAAGTGCCTGTTTGAGACCATAAAGGGATTTGTGAAGCTTGTACACTTTCCTTACATCCTTCTGTATCACAAACCAAATAGGTTGTGTAACATACACGACTTCATCTAGGGGACCATTCAAAAATGTTGATTTCACATCTAAGTGAAATGTCTACCAGCCTTGCTTATATGCCAAGGTTACCACCAATCTGATAATCTCCAATCTTGTTGCTGGTGTATTTACTTTGGAGTAGTCGAGTTCTTCTCTCTAAAGAAAACTTTGAGTTACTAATCTTGCCTTATATCTTGCAATCGACCCATCAGGATTGTGCTTTAGCTTGAACACACTTTACTTTGATCACTTTTGTGTGTTTTGGCAATTCGGCTAGCTCCCATGTTTTGTTTCATTTGGTCCCTTGTAACTTTTCGACCATAGTTTCCTTCTAGTGTTCATTCTTTAAGGCCTCACTATAGTTGATTGGTTCAACACCTGCAAGTAAAATGAAATGAACCAAATCTCCCTATGGTGTGACTTCGTTATCACCAACCACTTCACAGTCTTAAAGCCTTGTTGGGAGAACTCTGGTTATTTGAGGTCTTTGGCCTGTGCTAGCCACACCCTCCTTATTGTCTGCTTCGACTTTGACTGAAATGTCATTAACTAGAATTTATTTGTGCTCAATACTTCTTCGTCAATGCCATAACTCATGAATGATTTATTAGTTGCATAGCCTGAATTCTAATCCCAGACACAGTTCTCATCAATCACAATGTCTCGACTCATCATGATACTATCATTGATTGGATTGAATAGCCTGTATATTTCAGTCTTATGATATCCTACCAGAATCATATGTTCACTCTTATCATCAAGTTTCCTTCTCATAACATCAAGAATATGCTTGTAGCAAATAGAGCCAAACACCTTAAATGACTCGCTGATGGTCGTTTGCCACTCCATACTTCTTCAGGAACCTTGTTCTTTAGTTTCTCGGTAGGGAACCCATTCAAAATATAAACAGCAGTAGTGACTACTTCACCCCATAAGGATTTTGGCAAGTTCTTTTATTTTAACATGCATCTAGCCATATCTAATATGGTCATGTTTCTTCTTTTTGTTATTCCATTATATTGAGTCGTGTAAGGAGTAGTTACCTCATGATCAATACCATGTTCTGCACATAACTCTTTAAATATATTGGATGTGTATTTGTCACCTCCATGTATCGTAGAACTCTAATCTTATTTTCACTCTGGTTTTTGACAAGCATTTTCAATCTCTTAAAGATTGAAAATACTTCATCTTTGCACCTGATCACATAGATCCAAAAAATTTGATTGTACTCATCAATAAATGAGATAAAATACTTGTTTCCACCTTTGGTGTGATCCTCAAATGGGGAAAATACATCTGAATGTACTACTTCTAGTATACAGGAGGATTTCATTGGCATATTTGAAACAAAAGACTTCTTGGATTGCTTCCCTATTAAGTAACCTTCACAGTGTTTGTCAGGCATCACAAGACTTGGTGTACCAGTTAGAATTTCTTTAGTACTTAGTTGATTGAGTAACCTAATATTCAAATGCCACAACCAATTATGCCTGTGGTCGACAACTATTTTCAAGAATTGTACCTCAGTTGAACTGATCATGGTCTTGAATGTGCTATTCTTCGACATATGAGATTTTAAGACCAAATTATTTTGGGTTTCAAACAATTTTAAGGCTCCATATTTCATAACCATTGATAAACGTTTTTAACCAGTTGTCCAACACTTAGCAGGTTGTACTTCATGTTGGGTACATTGAGTACATCTTTGATCATAACTTTTGCTCAATTACTCCTTTGAATAACTATGTTGCCAGTACATTCTGCTTGCAACAAACTATTATCTCCAGTTTTTCTTTTTGATATGAGGTTTCTTCTCCTCTTTTTGAGGATTCAAAATCCCTTTCACCAGCCTTATGTTTTTTAGGGTTCACCCAAGACTTCTTGCTATAATTCTTGTTTCATTTGCCCTTGAAATTATTGGAACCACCATTCTTCTTCCTTGTCTAGGCCTACATTGCTTGTATCGAATCTTGAATCATTTTCCTCTCGACAATCCATAACTTATGTGTCTCCACGAACCAACCAAATCTCCCAATTTTAAGGTTGCAAGATTGTTAGCTTCTTGAATGGCCACGATAATGTGATCAAAGTGACTCATACTGCCTTCGCAGTGCCTGCAACTTGACAACTTTAACCTTATCACCACCTTCATAATACTAGGCAAGAATATGCCATGCCTCCTTCGATGATTCAACATGAGAAATTCGATACAAATTTGCCACATCTACTGACTTCAAGTAACTAACTTGAATTATATTACGGCAGCTCATCCCTGACTTCAAAATTTGAGATCTTTTGTTTACTCACCTAATTGGCACATTCTTCCATAAAACACAATAAAAAGAAGTATTAGACTTGACCATATCACATGCTTGTCACGTGACTCCGCCATTTTAATGTTCAAATATATTTTTTGTATGTACAAGTTAGAGAGTTGATGAACCAAAATATTTAAGTCTTATCAAAGACAATCTGATCAACCAATGCTTAAACACGAAACAAGTGAGATGGAGTGATTAAATCAGAAGAAAAAAATATCTTTCTACTAAATGCAAAGAATTAATGTATTAAGTGAGTCTATACATTATCTCAAGATTTTGTTTTATTGAAAAGAACTTTTTATTTGGCACCATGATTATATTTTACCAATATTCAAAATTGAAGATTTTGTTTTATTGAAAAGAACTTTTTATTTGGCACCATGATTATATTTTACCAATATTCAAAATTGAAAAGCAAGTGAAACCAATATACAACAAAATAGGGAATATAAAAACCCACTAAGATAATGGCACTAGTGGGATGATGAGCCATGAGGAAAGAGAAGAAAAATATAGATTTTATATACTTATTTTTGTGTGTGAAAAAAATGGAAAAATAAAAGGTGAAGTCTCATTTCGTAACATAACATATACATAAGCTATTGTCTTTTATCGCATATATCTTATGTTTCCTAATGTCGTAGGTCTCATCAATCAATACTCTTAATTTGACGCATCTTTTTTCTTACGGCATTCCTTACCTCACCCACCCTCTTAAACCAAAACCCAACCACACTCATTTCATCCTCTAAATAATAATATCCATTTCATTTCATTCATAATTAATCGATTAATCAACTCACCTCTTAAAGCTTCAAACTTTCAACCAAAAAAGCTAACACCTTTACTTCTCTTCACCCAAAAATCCATCACCCTTTTCTTCCTTTTCGCTTTTCTTTCCAATTTCAATAAAGGGTCATCAAAAAACCTCATCATCTTCACCAATTTCACATAAAGTTTTGATTTTTAGCTTTGCCTTAGTTGATTCTCTTCTGCTTCAATTCAACTTTCCTCTGAGTTATGGCAATGATGCCATACTACCTTTCTAGGTTACCTTATCATGACTCCCTTCAAATTCTTGAGGCTGATATACAACAAGCTAATTCTTTGTAAGTTTTATCAATTTTTCAACTTTTGCTTTTTTGAGGTGTGAAAATTGAATTTAAATAATGGGTTTGTGATTGTGGTTTCTAGGGCTGCTGAAATTCCAAGAGCAAAGGGAGGAAATCTTATTAAAATGAAATTGGTTTGTAATCAATTGGCTCCTCTTGTTTTGTTGTTTCTTCAATGGATGGATTGGTCTTGTGCTGGCTTTTTGCATAGTTATCTCAACCTCTTCCACATACTTATATACAAAGTGAGTTCATTTGTTTCTTTCTTACCTCTTGATTCTATATAATTTGTCTTGTCTTGTAGTTTTTCTGTTTGATTTTAACATATTCAAAACAAAAAAAGACTTATCATAGACTATAATCATGATCATCTTAAGTTTTCGGAGACTCTAGATAGGTTAATCACTATTAAAGTGTGGCGAATCCTTTTAACCTAAAATATATTTTGAGGTCGTTTTTAGCTAAGGTTTAAATGTGTCAAATTTTGAATCTTGGGTAATAGTCCGTACATGTCTGCATTGCACAGCTTTCAAAGACGGCTATGACGATAAATGATTGTTCTTTTGTTTTTGATCCTATCTTGTTTTAACATATTAGGAACCAAATGATGGTAGATCAATCTTGTCTAGTCGTGGAAGGAAAGCAACCATTAAGGATTTTTATGGTATGTGTGGATTAAATTTGACTTGCAATTTTGTATAAACAACTTTTTTTCTTATCCTAAAATGTATTATCTTTTATGGCTGCACTACATTGACTGATTATTGTTTATTTTGGATTTTTGTCATTGAAAAAATTTGAACTTTCAGCGGTTATATTGCCGTCTCTTCAGCGGCTTCATGGTAGCTTCGACGACAAGTTGGAGACTTGTGAAGAAATGAACACGGGTTTTGAAGGTTTGGTTTGTGGCCAGAAGGTGATTGAGGGAGATGGGAAACTAACCGATGTTGATTTACAAAGAGAAGATGAATGTGGGATTTGCTTAGAGCCTTGTACCAAAATGGTTTTGCCTAATTGCTGTCACGCCATGTGCATCAAATGCTACCGCAAGTGGTAATTACTCACATTCGTGTGCATTCTTTATCGAGCATGTTTCGATTCACTTATTTGAGCTTATCGCCTGACATAAACATTTCTGACAGTTTGACAATCTTCTTGTGCTGGACTTGTTCGATTTTCAGGAACAGAAAGTCCGAGTCGTGTCCTTTTTGTCGCGGTAGTTTGAGGAGGGTTAATTCAGAAGATCTATGGGTATTAACTTGCGATGAAGATGTTGTCGATGCTGAAACAGTTTCTAAAGAAGATTTGTTGCGGTTTTACCTCTATATCAACAAGCTTCCCAAAGATAACCCCGACGCACTTTTCCTAATGTATTACGAATACCTGATTTGATTTTCTTTTGAACGAGTAGAAATCGAACTCAGTACTCTGAAATTTACCACACTCACGCACACTACGCATCAACCACTTGTTAGATCAGTGGTTTATCCGATATTATTTCGCTAAATAAGAAAATATGTACATATACAGCAAAATCCGGACCGCAAATGTGAATAGAGTCTGGTAAAAAAAAATTATTGTCATTTCATCATTTTGCTTGGGAGAGAAGTTTCTTGGAATTTTAGACCAAGAAAATCACTTTTCTTAGTTCTGTGATGCTAGTATTTTCAACAAATTGTAATTAAGATATCAATTTATGAAGCAAAATCTTGTTGTATATTACTTATTGAAATAGATTGATGTTGAGATGAAGAGTTTGTGTGATTAGATTAGATATTTTGGTCAAACAAGTTTATGAAGCTTTGGAGTATTTATATGCTGTCAAGAGGAGACTTTGTCAAACATACCATTATTTAATGGTATGAAGAAATATGAATTTGTTTGAATATTCTGAAATTTATTTGTATAGAATGTTGTTAGGTTCATAGGTGTTATAAAGGTTGGTAAACAACTTTAGGTTTGTTGAGTTAAATGGTTATCATATGCCTTCAAATGCAAAGATTAATCATTTGAATTGGATGAACGATTGATTGGATTGCTGGTGAAAACTTAGGTTCTGAGAGGGTGTTCTTTTCAAAATTTTAGGTTTGAATTTCATTCGATGCAGATAATTCATGGGATAGAGAGTTTTGCTCTGACTTGAATACTAAAATTAAAAATAAAAATAAAATTATTTGAATTAGATATGAATTTGTTGCTTAATTTTCATGAATTCAACTTCAAGTCTTAAAATTGATTTTCATGGCCTAACTCACGAGAGTTTAAACTTTAGGACAAGAATGCAATGACTTTAGCATATTGTAACTTTGGTATAACATTTATATAATACATTAATTATTCGTTCTTTCGTCATGTTAACTAAAGTTACAAAGTTACCGGCTACACTAAAGTCACAAAGCCATTCCCTTAAACTTGAACGGTGACAAAGAGCACGTTACATTGACAGGTTTAAAATTTCCGGTCATAAAGTTTGTCGTATACTACATCTTAATAGATTTTAAGTGTTTTTATTTTTATTTTTTATTTTTACTATTTTTTTTTTTTACAAAATCATATGCAATTAACGGTTGAAAAGGGATTGACTAATTCTTCTTAAAATAAGTTTATAAGAGTTATTCCTCATATATTTCTTCAAATGATTTTCACACGTCAACCATTTCATTTATTTATAGACTAAGTTTTTTTTTTTTAGAATTTTTTGATGTACTCTAGATATTTCTTAATCAGTATATGAAATTATTTAATTATTTTTAGTTTTCGAAAATATATTTTCGGACGTACTTATTTCTGAATAAATGATGAAATATTTTCGAAAATATATATTCGGAACAATTTTAAACATTCAATAAATCTACTGAGAAGTCATGCTATTTATTTTTGAAATGTACTAAAGATGCATCTCCATGAATATTCCGGAGAAACATCTCCAGAATATAGCAAAACAGATATTTAATGTTATAAGTTGTTTATTTGTGTTCAGATGAAGTATAAAGCACGACCCAAAAAGAAATAGACGTACAAAATAATAAGAGACTACTATTGTGTGTGACGAAAATAAAATAGCAATATATGTAGAAAATATCGTATAATCAAGATCCAAAATGTAGTAAGACCGTCAAAATAAAATACAAAGTATAGTACTACAACAAAATAACAAGAGACTACTATTGTGTGTGTCTGACAACAACCCATCTATCTCCTTTGTCTGCTCTACCTCCTCGGCCATCAATCCCCTCATCCTTCGGCTATGTCTTCGATACAACAATGCCTCACATGCCTCTGCCATGATGGCATCTAGAACTTGCCTGACACTAGATCCATCAGGAAAGATGCCCTCGTCAATGTCTTCCCACACAAACTCCACTATGCGACGACACCTAGGCAAGACATAATCAGTATGATCTAGATGAGCATGTTCCTCCTCTAGTATCTCCTGATGTGTTGGTCTCGACGAATCTCCTATAGCAACATGCAACATGTACGGATGTGACACCCTGAAGAACCATCTGATGTACCCTTCGATGTAACTCTGGTCGCTCTCATCTATGATAGCCCATGCCTCCTCTAGTACCAGATGACTATAATCATCAAACATGTCATCTATTTGTCTACGTGTCAAGACAGGAGGAGCAAAGACAACAAGGTGTCTGTGAACGATTTGAACGTAGCCGAACTTCCACATGACGCACTCGGGCAGATAAAGAGCAGTGAGATGCAATCCACAAGCCAACCATCTAGAATATAACACTATCTCATCAAATGGTTGTGTTCGGCGATGATTAACAAAGTTGTTGAAGTGCATGTCCTCAACAATCAAATGATCAAGATAGACTATGTAAGGCTCGGTCGCATGGTTTCTTCTGAGCGGGTTAAAAGCAATAGCACGCGACATATCCTCAACATACTAAGGTACACTCACCCAACCAAAGATGCGCGAGAAGTGCTGGAGGATCCAAGCCTGAAATGAAAAGCTTATAACACATGAATCATCGGTAATGACTTTTCAAATAAGAAATGAAAATTAAAAAAAAAACATCCCACTATCAATAATTATTACTGTTTTATCCAAAAATGGTTAGATACACCAAAAGTGTTAATTTCCCTTGTCCTGGACAAGAAGAACTACGTTGTCTATATTGTGAGAGATATTTGGAGATTTGAGAGCTACACTTGTGTTGTGTATTGTCTCAAGATTATTGTGTCTTGCTTAAACCTCATGTGGAATCCCCTTTTATAGTATTCCATTAAGATATGTCATTAAGAGATGTCTCTTGACCTTCTGACGTTACATGGCCATCATTGTTGTAACTCTCCTTCATGAATGTAGGCTTTGAAGCTCTGGTAACGTCTGTATTGATGTGTCGTCACCGTTACAACTGTTGGCATGCCAGTTGAGCTCGTGTTCATCGTAAGTACCGGGTTGATGGGGTTTGTACTCGACTTCCTAGTATCTCGGTTGATGGGAGCCGGGTTACGTGACCGGTCCAGGTTATAGGAGATACTTGCCTAGCTCTATGCATTGCTCGACCTTTCTTGCTATCGTAGTATAGTTCATGCTTAACCTTGTTCGGCTACACAACTCGACTTAAAATATATTTGGCAAGTACATAAGCCCCCCGAGTACTATATTCGTTTACCATGGTACAATCCTTGGCAGTAACATGAGCATGGATATATTTTACTGATGTCGTGCTATAGGCCGGCTTTCCTTCTCAGATCCTTACGTGTCATGAATTTCTTGGAGGGTCGTGTCTTTTCATTTTCTCCAGTGTAATGATGACCTTTAATGGCTACTCCTTAGCTATCCTTGGGTGCTGAGTCCTTTAAAAGCCTTTCTTTCCTCTCTCACTCTTCTCATTTCGGCTTTGCATTATCTTTTTTAACGATTAAACTCCTATTTAAATTTCCAAATTCTTATTACTCACAGGTATTTCCTTACCCTTCTTGATTTATCTTATTCTTCTACTTGCTTTTTAGAAAGAATGATCGTCTTTGGGGAACGGGGCGATGAGGGTAGTGGTAGTGTCGTTCGTATGAGTGTCGTGGAGAAAAAGGAGTTGTGGGAGCAATGCATGTGAGAAATGGAAGACCCTTTAGGACCAGAAGAGTATAGACGAGTTATAAATGAAGTTTAGGGTGATATTCTCACTTCTAAAAATGATTTTGACCCTGACTCATCTTCCTCAGGTTTTGTAGAGACTTTGATGACGACCGCTGCTCTCTTCAATCTCGAAATCATGAACTATAAGAATAGCGTCTTTGATGATATAGAAATCGTAAAACTTCGATCCAAAAAGCAAATATCTTCAACAGGGTCCGAGGATGATGTTGTCTTGGAATCATGTATTCCCAAAGAACGAGTTTGTATACTCCGTCCTAAAAGTGTCAAGGAAGATTTTTTCTATTTTTATGCTGGGGTTTTAGACGACTTCAGCATTCAGATACTCCTTTCCAATTTTGAAGAGGATGTTTTACAAACCGTGAACATAGCCCTTTCTCAACTTTGCCCCAATAGTTGGGTTTTTTATAAAGGCCTTTGAAAGAGTTTGTGAGGATTTAAAAATCACCCCCACCACTGGCCTATTTTTCTCTTTGTTTGAGGTTAAGGGTGTTGATAACCGTAGTTGGGTACAAATAAGGGGGATTTCTAGCTGGAGGTCGAACAACTCATTCCATGTTCAAAATTCCAATACTAACAATGAAGTCGTTTACAAGTGATATAAAAAAGAATATTGATCATGTTGATATGTTGTAGTTGACAAAGTTGATTATTTGGGATAAAGCTCCAATGACCAATACATATTTTTTTGAAGCTTTGGATAAAACACTTAATAACATTATGTCAGAAACAAAGACTTACAACACAATATTTGGAAGAAAGGTGGTTGTTTTGGGCGGCGATTTTCGACAAATCCTTCCTGTTATCCCAAGGGGTAGTCGTTTCGATATCATTCATGCCACTATTAATTCTTCATACACATGGGATCATTGCACGACTTTTTGACTTACCAAGAACATGTGTCTTCAGTAATCCACCATTCGTTCCACTGCTTATGAATTAGAGCAATTTTCAAATTGGATATTACAAGTTGGAGATGGAAAATTTGCTGAGCCCAATGATGACTATGCAGATATTGATATTCCAAAGGATATGTTAATCACAAATTTTGACGATCCCCTCAAAGCCATTGTTCAATTCACATATCCAAACTTTTTTTCATAACTATAAAAACTCATAATTTCTTCAGGGTAGAGCAATTTTAGCTAGAACATTAGAAACAAGTGATGTAATCAATCAGTATGTGTTAGAATTAATTCTAGGTGATTTAATTATCTTTTTCAAACTGTTTATTTATATATCAGTACATAATGTAAATGCATGTTATATACGG